AATCTTCCTTCCCCCTCCCCTTCGTTTTACTGTCATCCTTCAGTTTGTGTTGCCTAAGGGAATTCTGTTATTTTGCTTAACAAAGTACCTCTGCATTAACTGTGATTGACCATAATTGTATTAAAGGCAACAGTTCATCAAACATAAGTACTTCCATAAGATATAGCATATTTAGATAATATGATTTTATTCTCCAAGCGCTTTAAAATCAAGTCACAGAACTGTGAGAATTGCTGGAACTTGACATTATACTGATTTAGCTTTAGCTTATTGATGTATTAGATTCATTGAATTTTTTAGCCCTTACATGATGGCTTTTCATGTTGTTACCATTCAAATGTTTGAAAATATATATGGCAAAGAGTTAGAAAAATGTTTTTGTCAGGAAGCAACAAAAATAAATATAGACTAATTAAGTAAGCAGTCTTAACTATCCAAACTTACAGATATCCAATTACCAAATAGATTTATTTAATAATCTTCCATTAGGCTTGGGTAATACAAGTATCTGAGTGCAAAGAATTCCTACCATGAACCATTACCATTATATGATTGATTATAGAATTCCCCCCTCCCTGTTTTACAAAATAAAAGTTGCATATGGCCTAGCCCTAGCAGGTGCATAACTGGGCATGGAGGAAAAAGGAAATGAAGAGGAAAAATTAAAAATGAAGAAAGAAGCCTTGTCAGTTGAGGTGTCATAATGCCATGAAATCACAAAGAACATTCTGGAGCTCTGTTTCACTCTCTTTCTTTTTAAATCTTCCACACCTGTGATTATGCTATTTTGGCTCATAAGTTATTGCATATTTTTTTTGGCACCAGAAGCAGGATGTAGGTAAAATAAAATGGATATATCAGTTTGGAATCTTTCTATTATTTATCTTTCTTCTGAGAAAATTTTCTTCCTTACATTTATTTGGCACCCATCAATATACATGAATTTAATTTAGAGGTTATGTTTCGAAATAGTTTATGTCATACACACAGCCATATTTCATATGCTCATACTGCATTAATGCAAAAATTTGCATAGCATAACTGATCTTTCAAAACAACTGAGGGGTCTCAGAATCAATAGACTGGCTCTGAACTTGTGATGTATTGTTTACATATGCACTATTGCAACAGAGGCAGAATATGTCTAAACATAACTTAATATTGCTCTGTCTTAACAACTTTCATGGAGGGAAATATATTCTCTAATTACTATAACCTAGTAGTTAAGTATTATGTATCAATCAATTTGTTAATGTCACTGGCTATAGTCAATAAAAATTAAAACCAAAGAAGGTGGCTGCTGCATAAATAATTGGAGAAAAAATGTGATTGCTTTAAAAATAACGATTTTTTTTACATAAAAAGATGTTTGTAAAAGTGTTTTTTGTTTCTAATGTGACTTTTTTAAAAAACAAAGAAAAAAGTTTATTGAGTAATGATTTTGTGCTATCTAGTTGGTGTTTAGGCTTAGCAACTACACAGATATATTCTGGACAGGGCAATCTGTCGTCAGCTGGATCCTCAGAACTTCTGATGCTGCTGTGACTGAGTCCACTCATCTTGCTGTTAGTGATCCCTCTTTTCACTTCCCTTCCATCTATCCCAGAGACCTAGATCTTTGTATATGTACTAAATGTGATAATTTGAATCTGCTAATTTGTTCAAGTGAAAATTCTTTTTTGTTCTCTGATTCATGTAATTGTTTTCTAGGCTATTTTTGGTATTCTCAGAAGTCTTTTCCAACACCAAGGTTCAAAAGCATCAATACTCTTTCTAGCTTATTTCTTCAATCTTCAGCTTTCACTTCCTTAAAGTGTTACACATAAAAAAGTGTGCTTGATTCTGACCTTTGCAGAGACATCCTGTAATCTGTATATATTTTCTATGGGCTTCATTGCTACTTTACTAAGTCATGGTCTGCAGTATATAATAGCATATTAATTTATTGACTGTGCATCCTGATGATAGTTGATTCTAAAAGGCACATTCACCAATTACCAATTCTGTATCTCCAATATCGGTTCTAAGGGTAGTCGCTGTCCTCATTGTCATTAGTTTGATCTTCTTTATGTTTAATCTCATTTCTTTCAATGTATTCTTTGGTTTCTATTACAGCAGATGATTTTCATTTTCAGTTACTAATGTCATCAACATTGTGCAGATTACTGATTATTTTTTCTCCATTTAAAAAAATACCCTCATCTTCTAATCCATATTTTCTTAATATATATTCAGCATTTAGATTGAATAAACAAGAAGAGGATATACAGCCTTGTCTTATTCCTTTACTGACTTGCAAAAGACTGAGTCAGTCTGCTGAACCATGTCCCATCCAAATTGTGGTTACCTGACCTGTGGCTATGCTTCACAACCAGATTGCTTTGGCATTCCCATTTTCTTAAGCATATCTCACAGCTTGTATAGTTGACACAGTCAAAGGCCTGTCTATATTCAATGTAGTACATATTAACTTCTTTTTAATATTCTTTGGCTATCTCAATAATTTACCGTGCATCAGCAATGTTTCTTTACTGTACAGTCTTTTCTGAAACTAGCTAAAGAAGCTTATACTTTTAACATAATTTTAGAACATTCTCATATTTATCTTGTACTGAAGCACAATTTTCTTATTCATATATGGTCAAATATTGTACATTAATGCAAAAAATAAATTCTCAATATGAGAAATGGTATGCAGTAAACTGGATGCTGACTTCATTTCAGTGTCACACTTGATTTCAGTGAATATACTGTAATTATGACTAAGTCTTGCAACCCTACATTGGGATTTGGTTCCCACTGAAGAATTATGATTCATCCAAATTATTTTGTAAGCCACTTCCTTTTTCAATAAGGGCAAAAAGTGATGTGCTTTAAGCATTCCAGAACAGAGAAAGAGTTATAAAACTCAAGATAGTGGACAAATCCTAGGATCCAGAACAAGGTATTTTATTCCATGGGAAAGTTTTCACCCCACGTCAGGAGGAAACATCTTCATGCTTCATCAGTTCAGTTTGCAAAGAACTCTAGAAAGCCCCAAATCATAATGGGGAAATTAAAACCTTGGGTATGGAAGGGACACAGGCCTTGCAGTATTTATTTATTGACATTTTATTTACTGGCATAGACTTGTGAATTCATCAATGATATCTTTCTGTACATCAAAGGTTACTTTAGTCTTTGAGGTCAGGGTTAGTTCATGTAACCCGCAAGTTGTTAAGGAAGTACAAGGAAACCACTGTTTGAGATATTATCAACTAAGAGTAGCCAGAGAAAGGCTGAGTGCTAGTATCTTATATCAATAGTGCAGGGTATAGCTGCATCATTTCCCTTAAGGCCGTATGGCTGCATTTACTTTCCATGTAGCTGTTGAAAGAAAAATCTTCATCAGGGTCCAGTTCAAGCTGGGAATAAACAAAATGGAGACTGCTTTAGAAAGAAGGTTCTTGTTTATTTAGTTGCAGAAACTTCAGCGACAGCAGCATGTTTCTGGGGTGGCTGACCACATGGAGCTGGGAGTGGTGGGTTTTTATACCTTCATGGGCTTTTGTGTTTGGAGTTGTTCCTGTGGCATGAACTTTGACCTGAGGTTCAGTGAGGGGTTGTTGGTTCTAGGGATCTTTATCTTTCTAATTCCATCAGCTCTAAGCTTCCTCCTCCAGTCTTTAAGAAAGGATTATCAAATCTGCATTTCTACAGAGCTGGTTTCTGCTTGGGGCAGAGAGACTTGAGGGTGGGTGGGTTTCTGCCTAAGATTTTCTATTACTCCATTGGGGAAATATATTCTGCTTTTTTTAATATCTCCCAAAATATTTCTTTCTCGGGGAGGGGGGGTCCTGTCTTCCTACATAACAAAAGAACTCAGAGGTAATGCAGTTTTTTCCCAAGAGGCTTACATTTTTCTATGCAAAACTGTATGCAGATTATCAGTTTTAACACCTGTAGCTAGTATTACTGTGGAGCATTATTTTATGTAGCTTACAACACCTTTCCTAACGCTAATCCTTTTTTTAACCAAACAGGTTTTGTAGGTTACCAAAACCGTATTAAAAAATTTGTAACCACAAACCGTAAGTGAATAAATGAGTCAATCAATCCTTTTATCACGTCACCCACAACTTAGTATACATTGAGTTTCTAACATCATAGCTGCAAAACAGGGCAGTTAAAGACAAACACATGCTAGGACAGGTTAGGGGACAAGAAGGAAGTAACTTGAACGACTTATTCAGAGAGGCAGAGGTGGTTTAAGGTCAAGGTCTGAACATAAGAATTTTATGAAGGCTTCAAACACTTTAATAATAATAATAATGATAAAGTTGGAAGGGACCTTGGAGGTCATCTAGTCCAACCCCCTGCTCAGGCGGGAAACCCTATACCATTTCAGACAAATGGCTGTCCAGTTTCTTCTTAAAAACTTCCAGTGTTGGCACATTCACTACTTCTGGAGGCAGGTTGTTCCATTGGTTAATTGTTCTAACTGTTGGGAAGTTTCTCCTTAGTTCTAGGTTGCTTCTCTCTTTGGTTAGTTTCCACCCGTTGCTCCTTGTCCTGCCTTCAGGCGCTTTGGAAAATAGCTTGACTCCCTCTTCTTTGTGGCAGCCCCTGAGATATTGGAACACTGCTTTGTACACCATGTCCTTTGCCCTTATCTAAAAATACAGAGAAACAACAGACCTCACAACCTAGTGGAGATAGATTGGGCACTTTACACAACTACCCGAAGAAAACAAAAATAAAACTGGCAAGCGAAAAGAGTTAAACAAACAAAAACAAAGGGGCATCAGGAAGGATCATGACGTCACGGCGTAAGACGTTCCCGCCGGGGATAGTCGCGCCCGCAGCTCATTCCAGGACGAGGTTTCCTCTTTAGAGGCGTGCGCTCGCGTGACAACAAGGGAGGAGAACGTGCTCAGTGTGGGCGAGGAGGACGGGTTGCTGAACGCGCAACACCCCCCCCCCCGTTAGCTTCCGGCGCCACTACCGCCATCACTCTCCAGCCAGCACCTGGCCCCGCCCCTCGTGCGCGGGGCCGCGCCTCGTGCTGGACAATAGCGGCGTTGCCGCAGCCGAGTTGTGTCTCCTCCAAATCAGGCCGGGACTTGCCGCAGTTACAGCAGCCGCCGGGCCCGCCCGCTACGACCTGAACTAGCGGCGGCAATGCCGCCGTCCCGGTTGCGGAGCTGACCGGGGGATTCGCTTTTCGAGCCGGGAGCTTGATGTTGGTTTCTTCTGGATCATCTAGGCTGCCTCTCCGCTTCTCCTGCGCAAAGCTCGCCGAGCCCTTCCCGAACGGTAGAAAGAAGTCTTTCTAGCGTTGCCCGGGTGTGCGTGCGTGGGGCAGGTGAAAGCGGTGAGCCGGGCCCTGCCTTGATCCCGGAGCCGGGCCTGGCTTTGATTGGCACCCCAGAAGACGAGGTGGTGGTGGCGGCGGTAGTGCAGCCACCGTTTCAATGGAAGTATGCTATCAACTGCCGGTGCTGCCTCTGGACAGGCCGGTCCCGCAGCATGTCCTCAGTCGCCGGGGGGCCATCAGCTTCAGCTCCAGTTCCGCTCTTTTCGGCTGCCCCAACCCCAGGCAGCTTTCTCAGGTGAGGCCCCTCTCGCTTTCCCTCGATGTGAAGGTGGGAAGCGGCCCTCGGGAGCGATCTTGGAAGGAGGGGCAGAGAAACAAGAATATCCGTGCGGGACCCCGAGGGGGAAAAGGGATTGCTTTTAAAAAAAATCGGAGACTCCAACGTGCAAGGTTTCAAGTCCTCTAGCACTGTTTAGTCAGGCGAGGAGGAACAAAAGCGGGAGGGAGGAAGATTAGGCCAGATAGCTTGCAGATGAGGTTTTCAGTTAGCGGCTCAGGCAGGCAATCTCGGAACACGCGAAAAAGACGCACCAAAGCACAGCTTGACTCTGGGAATTGCCCTTTATCGGGCTCTGCTCGTCTCCCGTTTTATTTTTGTTAACTCTTGCTGTTTTGTCACCTGTAGCTGGGTAGTAATGCTGTAGATCATCAAGATTGCCTTTAATGAGTTTTTGTTGATTTTTCTCCCCCAAACGAGCAAGACAGTGTAATTTTATCCTGATCATAAGGCTAGAAAGGAGGAGAGAATGAAATTGTTTATTTGGTAGGTAGTTGAGGTGATACCTTTAGAAGCGTTCAGTCTTTTTCTCCTTAATATTTATACCGGTAGTAGTTATGAGAGTTACTAGGATATAATGAAGCTATTATAAACGCTTCAGATTTTAGAGGAGTCTTTTGCTTCACTTCAGCTGAATCATGCTCATCCTTTAAAATATTTTGCAAAAGATTGTCATATATTTTTGTTGTGCCTTTTTCAGGCAGTTTAAATATGTCTTTTATAGGTTTTTAAAGTAAATATACTATGAGTCCAATGTGAATGATACCAGTAATAAACTTAACCATAACAAATGTAGGTAGGTGGTGAAATGTGAAAAAATAGATTCTGTTGCCATTTTTGGCGCTTTTCAAATGTTTTGAGGATTGGGTTACCCATCTGTTATTGCCCTGATGCAGTCTGCTGAGATTTCCCTATGAATGATAACAAATCTCTGAATCTTAAGGCATTTGCCCAGAATTAGAGCTATGTATTTGCTTTCTTTTTGTAGCATTCCATGTACTTGGACGAATCACAATTTTATTCAAACATCTAAGGGTGTAGGTCCCTTTCAAATTTTGAAATAGCCCTGGCTAATACTATTGCAAATGAAAAGGAAATCAGTTATTCTTTGGTTTCTTTTTTAGTTTAATAGCACAACAAAATATGCTACAGAATGTGGATTATAAAAAATTAGTTTGAAGAGAGTCAAACTTAAATTTATTAGGATTGGTTCTAAAGAAATATCACAGATAAAACTAAACTATATTGACTCCAAATTTATGTGAAATACAAAATTGCAAATTATTCAGAGGAGCATAGGTGGAATTTAATGTCAATGGTGTATTGAAAGAGTGCTGACTAAAATAGTCCTGCCATGTATCCTCAGAATCTGAGGATAGGAAGATGTGGGGTGTTTGGTGTATAGAAAATAGCCCTTTAGACATGTAGACTTTTGTTTGTGTGATGATGGAGTCATCCATAACAAAACAAAGCTGCAGTTTTTGAGCCATCCCACGATATTCTTGAATTGAGATTAATGTATTAGCCCTGGGACTTTAGGCGATAATATCCTTTAATCTTAGACATTAAATATGCTTACATTTGAACTGATTTAGTAAAAACTGATTTGAAGCAAGGGACTTTGGATCAAAGTTCTACTTTTATGTAATAGTAGAAATTACCTCCAATTGATTCTTATGCATTTGGTTACCTGAGTAGTTAACATAATTAAGTTGGCTGATGGTGGAATTCATGTTCTGTTAATTAATTATATTCTTTGGGAACAGAAAATGCATACAAGAAAAAGGTCTTTGTATGTTTATTGCTTAGCAGTTTAGCTATTCTATAAATCATATGCTATGATATCAATAGGAAATGCTATGCAGAATGGTATTAACTTTGAAAGGAAGATTGATAGCTTTTGTTTACAATTGTTGACACCTTATAAATTAAATGATTGTAGGCATTGCTATTTCTTTTGCAAACATTAGTAATGCTTACAAGGAATTTACAATTTACAGTTAATTTAATATTTTCTTTCCACAATTATAGTGAATATTTAATACTAGTTATGAAGTCTCAGTATCAGTAAAAAATAAGATTGTGTTTATACAAAATGACCGTTCTTAAGAACAAACCATTTGGATAAACTTATTAATAATGAAATGTATAAAAGAGCATATTTTATTTCAGATATTGAGATGCTAAGTTGTTTCTTACAATATTTAGTTACAACCATATTAGTGCAACTTTTAAGTAGAGCAATTCACAGAAAATACTGAAAGACTTAACAAGTCTGTCAATGACAGTAAATACATTTATAATTAGCTTTTCTTATTTATTAAATTTATATGCCACCCATATCACTGTCAGGTGACTCTGTATGGCTTACAAACATCATAAAAGCAAAGGTACAAAACATTAAAAATTAAATAAGAGACTAAATAAGTTAAAAACCCAGAATACCATGATGTGGCAGTGTGATCTTCTTAGGCCAATAACCACCTCCAGCATGGAATGCCCCTATTGGGGCCCAGATCAGTTGGCACAGCCAGGTTTTGAGGTTCTTATGAAAGATCAAGGGAGTGGGGGCACATCTTAATTTGAGGGGCATGATGTTCCAGAGGGTGGAAGCCTTGGCAGAAAAGGCCTTTCTCCTGGATGCTGCCAGCTAGAATTCCTTGACTGACAAGGTTCGCACCATATCCCTTCTGCAGGAACAAGTGACTGGGCCAATCCCATTGCGTTGCTCAGATAGCCTGGACTCATGCAATAAAGGGCTTTAAGGTCATAAAGCAACACACTGAATTGGACATGAAAGCAGACTGTGCAACTTATGCAACAGCTAAAGGTTACAGTGGGCTGCCCTAAGAGCCCCTAGAACTGTCTGTGTGGCTGCATTTTGTACCACCTGTAGCTTCCAAATGCTCTTCAAAGGTAACCCGAAGCAGGGGGGAGATCCAATTTCTTTTAAAAAACAGATACTGTATTAACATTATTAACATTATCTAATTTGTTCCCTTACAGAATACCAAAAACATAAATGAGAGTGTAAAATCCCTTCTAGAAAGCCCATTAATTCTCTAGTTAATAAATTCTAAGGGTCAACATCCTTACAAAAAGTACATCCAAGTTATTTTATAAAAATATAAATAGATGGTAATATTGACTCAGTTGAAGATATTTTGATTGATGTCTTACCTACGGGTACATAAATTATCTTTTGTTTTTCTCTTCTATGTTTCAGTGCACTTTAATGAGCAACTTGTTCTGAACTTGAAACAATAAGGGAACTCTACCCATAAGTTCAAAACAGCCTGATTTGAATTTGAACAGAGTACTTTGAACTCAAAATATTTTATATATCTCTGAACAAATGTTACGGAGACTTAAATTTTTCAGGATATGTGAAAAGTTTTAGCTACTATATATATTTTTTGTTCTCTAAATCTTACTTTTTCAATCCATCCTTTTTCTTCAGGGGCCATCAGAAAATCTGTTTCTTACATCATCTAAATAATCCTTTTAAAGTGGCTGATGGTTTATAAAATGTGGGCAGGAAGTCTGGATTTAAACCTGTATATGCAGCTATACGTCTTGTTGCCTCAGAAAGCCATTTTCAGTTTCCGATAGTAGAGATTTTTGAGTTGATGAAAACTACATAGTATTGCAGAATACTGAAGGGGTCTCTTTTGCACCTGCCATATTCACTACTGTCTTCTTATGAATTTGCAAACAGTTGCACATACCTGGTAAACATACATTGGAATATACAGAAACATGGCATAAATATGTTGTCACTAACTTTGTACCATATACAGATTGTGTCAGCTTCATTTTGTTTAGGGATTTATTGAAATACATAATTTGATAGGGTGTCTAAACTTTTGTATACAACTGCTGTTTAGTCAAGCTTTTTCAGTTTCATGTCTTCTTCACTTTCCTGTTTTGATTGTATATATCCTCAGAAAGTACTGAGCTTTTTTTTCAATAGTGGTATTGTCAATTATCAGACACTCTTATGACTTTGACATGGTCATGTCACTGCTTCCAGATCTGTTCATCTGTTATAAAAAGAATGGTGCTTTCTGACTGGGAAGTGTCTTATTATCTGGCACTCATGCTCAATTAATATTACACATATTTTAATGCACTTGTCTTGGTAATAATACAGAAATGGTTTATTAGTACCTTTCTTCACATTTGATACTGGAGTGTTGGCCTTCCTTACATCTACCATCTACCATTCTTATCCCCATTGGGGATTACTGTTATTATTCTGCTCTCTTTTTCAACTCTACTCGCAAAAGGTAGTTAGTTTTACTGCCTAAAATAGAGGTTCTCAATCTTGAATTATTAGAATAATTATCACAGAAGAGTCTTACTAATACACAGCCATTGGGGGAGTCGGGATATAGGAAGAACTAGTTCTAGTGAGGGATAGGAACCGTTTTAGTAAGTTTAGCAGTTAAAATCCCATGAATGAATTGTTTCTTCTGTGAAGAGATTGACTAGTAAGCTCACTGTAAACTATGATTGGATGTAGCCAAAATATATGCCATTGGCTTTATAACCAAGAAGCATCATTTTATAATTGATTTTAGAGAGTTAAAATGGAGTGTGAGGAAAAGTATGCCATCCAGGGTTAGTTTTATTAAACATGATTGAAGTTTGAACTTTTGTCCTTTACTGGAGCATTTATTTATAATGGTTGCTAAATAATATGAGAAATTAAGAAACTTTTAAAAAATAGAAATAACATATATTTTTAATTTTCAGAGACGTGGAGCAATTTCCTATGACAGTTCTGATCAAACTGCATTGTACATTCGCATGCTAGGTAAGTGTGGTTGTTTATTGAGATATCAGTTCTATCTGTCAAATAGACAATATGCAGAATGCATTTTAATAACTTTTTGCTTCTTTTTGGTCCATTGCTTTCAAAAGTATTTACATTTAATTTGGTATCAGACATTAAAAATACATTTGAAGATGATTTCAAAAAAGGAAGATATGGGCTGTCCTGTAATTCAGATTTCAGTGTGAAGAAAATATGGGAGTGAAGATGCAAATATATAAGAGAACTACTAAAGAACATGCCAGATATTAAATATATGATAGTGGTGTCATGCATTTACATTTATGTATAAATTGTATACATATATTTATTTTTAATGTCCTTTACCTGTGTTAAAGGTTAGCTCTTGTAGTTATAGTTCTTGTGTTGAACATGTAGAGATTACAGCAAATGATGAATACATATAAGATTAAGAATTTGTTATGTTTAAAGATAGTTGGAATGATTCATGAATAAATATTTGTATAGGAATGAGTTTCAGTTTAAGTTGTAAACTAAATATTGTTGTGTGCTAGCAGTTTTGAAATAGTGCAACTTCAACACAGAGAAAAAGATGTGGAAGGAATTTTTATTTTAAATTATTCATATTAGTTCCACAGACATAAGAAATACATCATAATCAGTGATTTATTTGTTGAACCCTTATAGTAACTTCTGTTTAGGTCAGGGGTAGCAACTTTGACTCTTTTATGACTTGTGGACTTCAATACCCAGAATTCCTGAACCAGCCAAGGCTGCCTACCCCTGGTTTAGGTTATTCATTGTTATAAATTTTACAGAAATGTGTTGGTGGCTTTTAGAGCACTGAACCCTAAAGTAAGCTCAGTTGTTAGTATTGAACAATCAGCAGACAGTAAGTGTTGGATGATATATCTATGAATTCTACTTTAGTACCTGGTCAATCATAGTAGAATCTCTGTGCATCCCCAGATAAAAAAAGAATTGCAATCCTGTTGAATATGGGAATTGAAAGTAAATGATTCCTTAAAAATAATTACAATAGATTAATTCTAGATTTCCTTTCTGGTATTTACCTAATTGTTATTGTTTATTATACAGACAAGCTCAGACTAATTTGGCAAATTTCATTCATCCTTGTTTGTTGCTGTACCACAGCTACTAACCTCCCTGCTTGCTTTAAAATTCCTTTTGTGGTATTTGTTGGCATTTGGCAACACTAGCAAAATATTTATTTTCATTGTTTCATTTATATTAACAAGCCTTAGTTGCTTAAAAAGCATTTCCAGCACTTTGCTAGATAAAGCAACAAATCCAAAGTCATTACTCTCTGTTCACCTGGTCCTTCCATGAAAGTGAAACTTAAAATGAAACCAGCTCTACACCAGGAGTGTCAAACTGCCCACCATGGGCCAGATGCATCACAGTGAAACTGCGCCTATCCCAATGCCGGCAGTAGCAAAAAAGTCGTGATATGTCGCGGCACGTCACATGTTTGACACTTCTGCTCTATACCATTGGTAAGCTTATCTAATTTCCAAATCTGAGTGTTTCAGTACAGACATACAGTTTATCTGGGACCATTATGAAAAACCAAAAGTAATAGTTTTGAACCCAGGTTTTTAGAATTAACATTATGATTGTTAGAAGATACCTTCTGATTGTTCAGAAAAAATAACAGTGCAATTACCAAAATGAGTGAGATAAAAGATAATATAGTCAGTAATGCCAGAGGCATGGTGACTGCACTCACGCCCTCCAGATTTCAGTTGAGTCACAGTTCAACAGACTGTTCTCAATGCGAAGACTTGTAAGATACAAATCAGATATGAATCCATATAAAATTCCAGTTTAATAATGCTATAGAGCTGAATATTCATGCTATCTGGTAGGTAAATTCACATAGATTTGGACTGTGAGAAAATCTGATTGAGTTGTTTAAGTACAGCCTTATGACTTTATCTGTATTGAAATTGATTCTGTGACTCCCAGTGAGATTGACAACTTTCACTGGACTGTGAATTTGGTCACTTATTTGCTAGGTCCAGTGTCCTGAGTCATTTGTTTGGGTCCATGTGGTGGTATTGCCATCTTTGAGGAGAGGATGATCCTTCTGGCTTGAAGAAGGAGGTAGTACAGCCCTTTTAAAAGAGACCATTGCTGGATTATTTTCCTCTGGATAGTTATTGTCCAGTTTCTTAACCTTCGCTTTATAATGTAGGTTGCTGAAAAAGTGGTTGGATAGTTCTTGTAAAGGGGCTTGGAGGAAGCATGTTATTTGGACCCACTCCAGGCTAGGATACAGCACTGAAATAGCATTGGTCACACCTCTTGATGACTTTTGGTGAAGATGGGATGGGGATGGTATGTCCATCCTTGTGCTTCTTGATATCTCAGCTATTTTCAGTACCATTGATATTCTTTTGACTGGTTGTAGAAGCTAGAAGTTGGAAATGCGATGTTGCAGTGGCTTGCCTCCTTCTTCAGTGATTAGTCCTAATTGGTATTGACAGTGGGGAGAGAGATTACATCTAGAGCCCCTTAGTACATGGTGCCTAAAGATTCTCACTCCCCCTTTTTAACACCTACATCAGGCATGCCAAATGTACGGCCCATGGGCTGCATCTCGCCTGAGCAGGCCATGCCCACCCCGGCACCGCCAAGGCAAAAAACAAACGATACGTCATCATTTGGTCCATGTTGCTATTGGCTTGACACCCCTGACCTACATGAATCTGTTGGGTGACATTCACAATCAGTGTGGAATCCAGTATCATCAATCAGTATGCTGAGGATACCGACTTGTATATCTCACCCTTGGGCTGTGAAACGGTCAATGGCCTCTGGAGGCTGTTTAGATCTGAATGAGAGAAATAGACAACCATGACAGAACCCTGACTGGCTGCGATTATTTGCCTTCCCCCCCACAAGGGATGTTTTTATCTTTGGCTTTGGATGGAATTACACTTTCCTCTGTGAGATTTATATATACGAGTTGAGAGTCAATCTGAACTCTCAGCTACTGCTGAAAAAGCAGTAAAGTAAGGAGCTCTTATTTTTCTGCTTATTCATTAGCAAGATAGCTATTATTTATGGCTATTGATGTTTAGATAATCTGGGCCATAAAGGTTTTTTTGAAATCCTGGGTTATCATGAATTCCTACCTTAAATCAGTATACATAATTCTGCATTGATAACAAAACAATTATGACAGTATTGGAAAAGTCTATTGGTATAATTTCATTTTTCCATCCAATATACCCAATTCATGCAACTAGCAAAAGAGTGGATTGTTAGTAACATTCTTTGTTTCATTTTATCTTTGTTTTGAGATATTGCAACTTGCTTACTCTGTTGTCAGCAGAAAACCAGTATGATTTATAAAATGCTGCTAAATTAAGGTTTTGTTTAGTCAATAATCTCTTTTCAGAAAGGATTCAAGGAGTGAAATCAGGAATGGATCTTGAATTTTTTTTTTTTAGTTCTATATAGAATACAAATGACTGATTATATTCAAGAATCTCCCACTGCATTTTGCATACCATCTTACATAATGGGGAAAGGAATGCATTTTAGCAACTGGGTCCATTTTGTTGACAAGTGGCCACAGTAGTTATTGGATATAATTTTGTACAATATTTGAATGTGGAATATTTAAATTAGAGAAAAAATAGCAATACACCTGAAACTGATAGAACTATTATTGATTCAGTTAAATAAAGCAAGGTGCCCAACATATTATGATGAATGTTTTTCTCAGGGAAAATACCAGTGTATCAAAAGCAGATAAAAGTGATAAGGTTTTAAAGTACTTATCTATTCATCATAATTGCAAAGAATCCCTTTGAAAAGAAATATTGTGTGTTCTGTTCACATTGAGCCTAATCTTTTTAAAAAGGAATGTTATCATGTTGGCATTGCCATCATACTGATTTTATTCTGCATTTGTTAAGCTTAATATCCCCTGAGGAAGATGTTCACTGAAACATTGGGCAAAGCATAATTCTTTAATCATTTCTGCTTTCTGCTCCTTTTTATTTTATAGGGTTTCCTGCTTGAGCAGGGTGTTGGACCAGAAGACCCCCAAGGTCCCTTCCAACTCTTTTATTCTGTTATTTGGTCAAATGCTTTCTGAAAGCTCAAAATACATAGAAAGAAATCTTACATTCTAAATTAATCCCATAACTATAAAACTAAGAAAGCATTTAAAAAAAGTTTAAAACTAAGTCTTGACTTTTCAAATTATTTTTATTATTAATAGATGAATTTATGTTCATCCAGGAGTGTATAACTTGAGGCCCAGGGCTACATGTGCTCTTCCCAAAGTCTAAATGTGTCCAAGAGACTTCTGAAAGTTGTTACCAAATAATATTTGTAACCTGTTGGAGAAAAGTTAATGCATAATTGTGTTTTAACTATATTTAAATATAAATGTAATAAATTTAGATCCTGTCCTGGCCCCACTCCTCCAGTATATGATTCCAAGGTTCAGGAAATTATACAAATTATAACAGTGTGTTATTTATCTTAACTATTGCTGGGAAGAAATTTCAAAGAATGGAAATTATATCTCAAATCATGGTATGTGAATCGTGGTATTAAATCATGGTATTTCTCCAGCGTGACGAGTGGAGAATCCACCAATGGGTTAACTTCGTCTTCTGCTCTGCCTCTCCTCCTGGGACGTCCCTGCCCCAGTCTCGACTAGTCTTGAGCCCAATTAGACTGAATTCTTGACTCCTGAAGTGATTCTTCTTTAAGTCGTATATTTCTGATATTTTGGTCAATCCGGGGGGGGGACTCCAAAGAACGAACGGCCGTTTGTTTGAGCCCTTTCTGCTGCAGGTCGCAGCACAACCACGAGGCTGGCCTGAGCCCAGCCGATCGCCAGACAAACAAGGAACAGGATGCCATTTTCCGGTCACCAAGTGTGACCCTGAACAAAGGGAGAGACAATCTCCTTTTCCCCTCCCAACCCAATCCTCCCACAGGGCTAGCCAGGATAGCCAAAGCAAATTCGGAAT